TCTGTTTGTATCCATTATTGTCGCGAAATATATTATTTTTCCCCGCGCTAACAATGGCCGCTCGCGCGAAAAAAAAATTTCTGGCGAAGTCGGATTTGCTGACGCTATCAGCGTGCACTATCGGGATTTTGAGCACGCTTGCGTATAATGAATTTGATTGCGCGACTCTGCTAGCTATGTTCTAATTATGTAATAAACGGTTGCGCTCGGATTAGGGACCAGAGGCGAAACGCAAGAGTCTACTCCCAGGCTGAACGGACGGCGGTAAAAAGTCTTGCAAGCAGTGGTAAACTGCAGATTACAGGCTTTTATTCAAACCCTTGTAGTATCAAAGATGTGTGACTACTATTAACCCACAGTATGAATCGCAGCTACTGATTCTGTTAAACATCACCATAAATATATTTTAAATCAACCTCCTTGCACGCGTTTGTGTATGTGAGCACTCTGTTTTCCTAGGCCGGGTAGACGTCCATGAATTGGTCACTGAACTGATTGATGTAAACAAAACCACAATGAAATAAAAATGCAAATTTCTAAAAAAGCAGCAACAATTGGAACTCCGGCCCCTTGCTGATTGAAAATTCACATCGATTCTATGCAAGACTGATTATCGTGAAGTACCTGAACAAACAGAAGTACTTTTGGCGAATTGCTTTCAAGTAAACATTGCATTGAAACCATTTGAACGTTTTAGAGTACAAGGGCAAAAGGTTTTGTTTATTGGTCTACAGGAACACTCACAAGCACTCGTGGGTACATTGTTGAGAATCAAATATTTATGAATTGCGATCATGGCTGTCTTTGTTTATAATCGAAAGTGTGCGCTCGCGTTACCCAAAGGTCTAAATTTACATAAAGTTCTCGAGTGAAATTTAAAAAACACTGGCAATATCTTCTGTGCGAGATCGGAGATTGTAAACATGTATTCTCGTTAGAGACGCCAACTTTAAACACCTTTTGTTCGATTTTTAAAAGAGCATCCTGATGGATCGAATATCGCCACAGAAAAAGACCACGAGAGTTAGGAAAACTTCTTCGGTGAGCAGGGGATTTTGGGCGCAGAAAGCGACTCGTGAGGCAAGGAATGTAATCGACGCCTTTGAAAACTTACTACGAGGGAAATCAAGACAGCAGATCGTTGGAGCTGGGGTTGCGATCGCTTTAACCCTGATTATATTTTTCTACTCTTTGTATATTGGAAATTATCTTATTGCTCTGATAGTGATCGCTGTTTGGGTTGCAACATGAAAACGACCCCGTCATCATATCTTGCTTGAGGTTGGTAAGCAACGTGGCTTCGACCAAAAGCGGAAAAAACTTTCTTGTGCAGCAAGCAAAACATGGTCGACTTTTATAATCAAGTATCATGGTTGACTTGAGTTGAGATGGATTAGGAACAGCGAGTTTGCCGTAAAAATAATGACTGGAGGCATTTGATCTCGACGAATGGAAGACAGCTAACGAAAAGTTGCCGCTTAAGTATAAAATGATGGATTTGCAAATTAACAACAACGAAAAACAGTCGTCATTTCGCTTCAAGAACGGCGTTCATCCCAGCTTTATTATGTTTGTACCGTAGACTACCGAGATCGTAGAATACTACCCGTGTAAATATTGTTGTAATAAACTTAGGAGATTTTTAGGTGTTACATACGACAATTTTAGCGAACCAGCATCGCTGATGCATTTAATTAATGCGTTCTTTCAATTATATGCCCATCTTAAAATAGACTAGAATATATGTAGAAAATGTATTTTGGAAAGTCTGCTTTTAAGTAAGAGCTAGCTCATGCAGTCATAGAGTCGAAAAGTTTATCTTAGATGCAATTTTACAATATAGAATAATTACTGATAGAGAAGGTTGGTTCATTAAGGATGATCAATACTCGAGCTGTACCGCACGGTTTGCAGGAATTTATCGATATTGTTGCCCGTAAATACCAGTAATGTTGCATGCCCCTTCAAATTTATCCCGGTTCATTTAGCACAACAAGAAACTGAATACAAACCCTTTCGACGGTTGGTCAAATTGTGAAGTGCAAATGGGTCTAATAAGATGGGTGGAAATGTCATTGTTTTGAGAAAGTTTAATTGTACAAAGCTTTCATTATTTTTTAGAGAACCCAAGGGGAATTTCTTTGGGAAAATAAAGAAAATAAGAGCATTCTACTGAATATCGATTGTGAGGGATATTTGGGATCATCCTTTTTTCTTTTTTTT